TCCCTTCGCCTCTCACCATCGGGGTGCTTTTATTTCAGTGAGTCCCCTCGCCTCTCACCATCGGGGTGCTTTATTTCGGTGAGTCCCCTCGCCTCTCACCATCGGGGTGCTTTATTTCGGTGAGTCCCCTCGCCTCTCACCATCGGGGTGCTTTATTTCGGTGAGTCCCCTCGCCTCTCACCATCGGGGTGCTTTATTTCGGTGAGTCCCCTCGCCTCTCACCATCGGGGTGCTTTATTTCGGTGAGTCCCCTCACCTCTCACCATCGGGGTGCTTTATTTCGGTGAGTCCCCTCGCCTCTCACCATCGGGGTGCTTTATTTCGGTGAGTCCCCTCGCCTCTCACCATCGAGGTGCTTTATTTTGGTGAGTCCCTTCGCCTCTCACCATCGGGGTGCTTTATATCGGTGAGTCCCCTCGCCTCTCACTATCGGGGTGCTCTATTACGGTGAGTCCCTTCGCCTCTCACTATTCAATTACAATAAATGCTCGAAATGATGACCTTCCATTTCGATGCATTTATTAACTCGACCTTGGAATGCTTGTACACATGTAGAAAGTGTATTTGGCGTTATTTGTGCGCAAGCATATCTAATACGTTCCATCATTTAGTTAATAAATGCATCGAAATGGAAGGTCATCATTTCGAGCATTTATTGTAATTGAATAATGAGAGGCGAGGGGACTCACCGAAATAAAGCACCCCGATGGTGAGAGGCGAGGGGACTCACCGAAATAAAGCACCCCGATGGTGAGAGGCGAGGGGACTCACCGAAATAAAGCACCCCGATGATGAGAGGCGAGGGGACTCACCAAAATAAAGCACCCTGATGGTGAGAGGCGAGGGGACTCACCGAAATAAAGCACCCCGATGGTGAGAGGCGAAGGGACTCACCGAAATAAAGCACCCCGATGGTGAGAGGCGAGGGGACTCACCGAAATAAAAGCACCCCGATGGTGAGAGAAAATGGCAAAAACTAATTTTTACTGATTACATCTATCACGATTCGAAAAAATGTCTCCGACAAAACTTACGTATTTTTTTCCAAGGAATCCGAATTTGCAATAAAAAATGGGGGTTCCCATTTAAAATTTCAAAGTTGACACCCGCCCCACCCCTAAGGGGTGGGTTAATTTTTACACAGGCAGACGTCCCCCTTGATAATGTTAAAAGTTTATTTGGGACATTTTTTCGTACAATGCTTATTTTTCGAAATATTTAGTTGTCTCAAGTTAAATGGGACACCCTGTATATATATTGACACTCGAAAAGATTTTAATTTCAGCTCGTCCGAGAGAGAACTGATCTTTAAAATATGTCGCCTACTATATTGCGTTACAAACAATATTCATGTTACAAACAATATACGCTTTAATATAATTCCGAGCAAAACATAAAACTACATTTTCCAATTCGCATACCATACGATTCTCGACTAAGGGCGATGAAACGACGGGTAAAAGGGTTCGCGCGCGAAACTTAATAAATTAATCCTGTAAACATGGAGTCGCGTTTCGCTGGTTATTCCGTGCGTGCATCATGGACACATGTACATACATACAATATATACGCGTCCATGATGGCAATGGTCGGATGCAATACGTGTTCGCGGCTTTAGTAGTGCAAGTTCCGCGGAAAATATTAGTGTGCACAACGTTTTGTGTTCCTCCCCTCCCCACGTGATATATTTACTTAATAAACGTTTCCCCGAACGGCAGGAAAATTTAAATTAAATTTATTCAGCGAAAACAGTGCGTAGGCACGAGGGCGGCCGCAACATTGTTTGCGGGCGAACGAAATGCACAAAACGGGATGACAGTGCGAGAGAGCAAGTGCGCAAGTGGAATGAGGCGACCAGGAAGGACAAATGGATACGGAGGAAGGGAACAGAAGAGTTAAAGTAGTGACTGAATGGAGGGAGATAGAGGAAGATGAACGGGGAGAAAGAGTGCTAAATATAACGCGAGAAGGAAAGAGCCGCCAAAAGAATCGACTGTTATAAAATGAAGTGAAAAGCTCGAGGGAGAGAGAGAAGGGTGATGGCGCACTTGAGTGACAGCGGCTCGTTGAATTGGTCGTGAGGAGAAAAAATGCAAAAATATGCTCTCGACATGCTTTCCATATACGACGGAAATGTGTCAAATACGCGCGTGCTCTGTCCTCCGTTCGAGTTCGAACCGGAACCATCCAGGGGAGGAGCGATGATGTCGATGGCGCACGATGGTGACAAAGTGTGGATGCAACGGCCCAACACGCAAAAAAAAAATATTCATCCGCGTTCCATTTCGCGCCGGCTTTTGGCACTTGGCCGCCCGGTTGTCGCGTTGTTTTCGTATTATCTGAAATTTTTCCGGTGTCAGTGGCTCGTAATTCGAACGTACAACGATCGGTTAAACGGCTCACGACTGTCCACCCATACGTTCATAAATTCGCGTGCGGGTCTCTTTTATTACTATCGCGATACGTTTCGCAAACTGTACAACCGCGTCCGCACGATTGAGCGTTTAATCACTCGCATGTGATGAAAAATTATTGTTTATTAATTTATTGCGTTTCTTTTATAAGCTGCTTGTGTCTTGCGTGCAAAATGCATAATCAAATTATAATTTACATTAAAAATAAATTTTTTCGAATACCATGTATGTATATGTTGATTAATTGACAGACGAATTGAGATATACTTACAGAAAAAAAGGAATCCTTGATTAAAGTATATTTTTATTCTTGAACGCTATTTGATTGATTTGAGCATAGAGTGCTCTTTGTAATCACATATTTTCATTTGCCTTAATAATAAATAAGTTTGTGTGAAGTATATTTTATCCTTAAGATATATTCTGGTTTTAAAAATCGCATATGGTAAAAACAAACTCAGTCACATTTGAACTAAGAATTATTATATATACTTGAAAGTACCGCTTATATCCGATGCTCACTTGTCACTTGTCCTGCAATATTTATAAGTAAATTTCAGCTTCAACCAAGAATATTTTGCACTTTGTTTTAAGGATAAATTATCCATTATTCAAAATTATTTATATTTGGCGCTATTATAAGGATAAAATATACTTGAATCAAGGCATATTTGCATTCTTTCAAGGATACTGTTTTTTCTGTGCTCTTTGAAACAACGCCAACAATAAGAAGAAAGATTTGCCATTGTAAACACAATTTGCCATTTTATTATATATAAAAGAGACTAAATAATGGTACAATTTAAATATCTGTTATACATTTACAGACTTGGACTAATTGTAAGTTGGTTGACTCGGAATGGATGCTGGCATTAACGTTCACCTCAAATTGCTACCTTCACACTTCGCTTGTTTCTTGAAAATTAGCATGTTGATTAAAATTTGACTTGAAAGTTGCTTTGAAACGCGAAACTGGGCCATAAGTTTCTCAGGTGGAAAACGCGTAGAAGCGAGAGCCGTCGATGCTCGTGGACAAAGTGGTCATATTTCGCAAGTGTCCCATGTCTACCCTTTTGTCTTTTCCCTAGCGGCAACCATTGAAAGCAGCTTGCTGTAAGCGGATATTCTATTTAGGAAAAAAGTTGGAAGCATGCTTAAAGTTGGTACCTTGCCATTGTATAAAACTGCTTATCGATCGGCTTGTCTCCTCCTTCTTTATTATTATATAAATCCACTTCGTTTGAATATGTAAAACTAATTTATTTCTATATTTACTTTCTTCACGGATCAAAGAATATATATATATATATATATATATATATATATATATATACACTTTTAAAATATTTTTATTTAGCGGAAAAGATACAACACATGATCGAAATAGCCGAAAGAAAGGCGCAACGGATGGAATATGTATCTATCAGCTGTTTTGCATTAGTTCAATCGAATGCGATGGCGCATTTTTGATGAAAGCAATGCCTCGTCGTTTTTTCACGAGAATCGTCGATGTTGGCGGAGGAACTCTTCATGGAAAATCACGTTGAAGTTTGAAAAATTCGATGGCACGCTCGAAACAGACTGAAGTTCACTCGGGGGAACGCTGGGTGGACGGCTCTGCAATTGCTCACGGAACGTATCTTCCTTCTCCCCGGCACGGCGAACAGATTGTCAGAGGAAACCGTCGGATCGTTCGTTAAAGCGGAAAATCACGCGCGCACGAGATTTACTCCGATTTCATATTTTTTTGTTTCAATTGCGTCCGCGTTCACTGATTTATCGCGCGGGATACAGAAAGTGCTTCATTCCCGATCATACATTAAATACTTATGTTACTAAATTTTTAAATGAACAAGATTTTTTTCCATTTGAGAATATGCTAAAGACTAGGATATTCTTAATGTCTTTTAATTGACACGTGAAATTACGTCGTGTTTGTCACCGTGAATCTTAATTATGTAGTAAATTCGGAAATCTTTCTCTCTCTTCTCGACCTTAATTACCACTTAACTCATAAAATTTGCATTAAGTATACATGCCTTAATTATTGTGGCATACTATTCAAAATGGTTTTTAGTTTATGCAGCTTTATATATATTTTGCCTCATTTTTTCCCTTTATCTGCTATCCTATTTGCGCGAATATATATATATATATATATATATATACACACACACACACACACACACACACACACACACACACACACACACATACATACAATATATGTATATATATAAGTTATAGAAATTCATTCCGAGTGCATTTTGTACGTTCTGCCTTGAAATTCTATTTCAAATTTTTCGCCGCAGCAATAATATTATGATTCTCTCTGTATTTCTAAGATATATTCAAATATATAATATTATTATATAACATTATCGTTTATCGAAGAAGTGTTCAATCTTAAAATGCTTAAAATAACTTGAATGTAAAATTATTGTAAAATTATACATCTATAATCGATAAGTAGACAGATTTAGATAAATGCAAAAGTGTCATCGTATGGAAAATTTCCAGTTTATTGGGTTATAATGATAAAGACATTTCATAATTGTATAATTATTGAAAATTCATCAAAATATCGTGCAAGAATTCTTATATGATTTTTTAAATGCTCAAGAAAATCATATCATTTAACAAAATATGATATAAATAATTACTCATATAGCATAATGACTACTTAGAATTAATTTATGAATGAGATAGATAATAAACGTGGTAACGCTGTTTATAAATAAGGTTTACAAGAATCTAGGTCGTGCTTAGATACATCTACGCATCTAATTGCAGAAGACAACAATGAAAAGCAATTTATCTCTTATCTGTAATTTCTTTAAAAACCATATGCAGTTTATGCCTTACATTACAATAATTTTCAGGAAGTATATTATGAGTCTATAATGAAGATTATGTATCGAGGTTAAAGATAAACTGAGGAAATCCGACCTGACGATTTTATTTGAAAACTCGATGTTACAATTACAGTTGACACGCGAGATTATAGAAGCCTCTCATAAATTGCAATACAATAACTCGTTCACGCTATTATATTCTCTGAATCGTGTGCGTGTGTGTACGTGATTGCGTAAATATAATCCGCGCTATAACTTATTCTTCTGCTCATGAGTATGTGTTCCAACGCTATAAAAAGCGTACAACAAGACAATCATTTTGCAGTGTTAAAATGTGGTTTGACAAGTTCGTGTTTTGTGCGTTTATAATCGCATGGATCAACGCCGAGGAAGATATTCAATTAGAAATTCCTCAGGGATTTTTAAAGGGTCTAAAGACCAATACCGTTTTGCAGGGCAAAACGTACTTTAGTTTTAAAGGAATACCCTACGCGAAACCCAATGTTGGCCTTAATAAATTCCAGGTAAGTTGATTATAAAAATTTATTTGCATGCATATATATATCTACTTTAGTAAATTATGCATTTCTATACTTAAAATGCGAAAGAAAATATTTAAAAAAACTCGTATTTATTATTATTAAATAAATTAATAATTTAAATAATTTAAATAATAATATTTCGAACCTTAAATTTGTAAGATGCCGGAGCCAGCTGGCAACTGGGAAGGCATGTATGACGCAACTTATCATCGTTCGTCTTGTCCATTCTTTTGTATAATACAACAAGACCTGATAGGCGAAGAAGATTGTCTTTATCTTAATGTTTACACACCGGTATTGAACAAAGATGCTCGTAAAGCCGTTATGGTATGGTTCCATGGCGGTTTTTTCAACAGTGGTCTCGGGGATAATCTTTACTTTGGTCCCGATTTTCTAATCGAACAAGATGTCATTCTTGTAACGCTTAATTATAGACTCGGTCCAATCGGTAAGTGAGTATTGTTCTTCAATAAATGTATACAAAATAAGTCACACTGTGTTTAAATAATTGTGTCATCTTGAAAATTGTCAAGACTTATAAAAACTGAATTATCCATTTATAGGGTTTTTAAATACTGGTGACAAAAATGCACCTGGTAACGCTGGATTAAAGGATCAGGTAATGGCTCTTAAATGGGTCAAGGATAATATACATTATTTTGGCGGCTGTCCCAACCGAGTTACGATCTTCGGCCAAAATGCGGGTGCGAGTTCCGTCCAGTTTCATATGATGTCTCCTATGTCAGACGGTAATATTAAAATAACAATAAATTTTAGTTATATATAGCGTGTATAATAATTCTTATTATACACACATATCAAGATAAAATATAACGTATATTACAATTTATTGCGTTACAGGTTTATTCAACAGTGCCATTCAACAGAGCGGAAGCGCGGTAAATACATGGGCAATTTCTTACAATCCCAGGGAATTAGCTTTTAAATTGGGGGATAAACTCGATATTGAGACGACTGATTCTGCCGAGTTGGTTGCTAAACTCGCAGAGTTTCATCCGAAAGACTTAATCGCGGCCAGTGATGAAATAATGAAAACCGAGGTATGTAATTTCTTGATAACATTCGTTAACGTTATATATCATTCACTAAATGTGAACTAGATCTCTTGTTATGCATATTAATACCAATATGGGAGGTTTAGTATTACGTTAATTTAAGTTTACGATACGAATGTACGTAATTACATACGTAATACACACGTAATTAACGCGAACATCAATTACACTAATGAGTACTGATCGCCGGTAATTCGCATTCGATTACGTTACTGCAGAACACTATGAACGGCCGCTTATCAGCGTTCCTTCCATCGGTTGAAGTTGATCTAGGACAGGAAATATTTCTGCCCGACGATCCCTGGACGCTCCTAAAATCTGGAAAAATTGCCAACGTGCCCGTTATGGCTGGGATTACGGCGGACGAGTCTGTTTTCTTCGTTCAGAGTAATGACTAACATGATATTACACGCAGCAGTTACACGCTCGGCGTCATGTAAACGATATCAAAACATCTGTTTCCAGTGATGCTCGGTAATATCGATCAGATGAATGAGCACTTCGAGAACTTTCTGCCAGTCGACTTGAATGTAACCGATGCCGGGCATAAGAACGAACTGGGTGCAAGCCTGAAGAGCTTCTACTTCGGGGATAAGTCGATCTCCACGGAAACGACGAAAGAGTTCACGATGGTGAGTACTTAACGTTAATCGCTTGACTTAACGTTCGTCCTGCTATCGTAAAAATTTGCGCAAACAGTTCCCTCCCCTTCTCCCCCTCCCCTCCTGTCAAGTTTAACGACGTGAATATTAACGTTGCTGTTTGTGCATTTTAGATGTTGGACGACATCATGTTTGACGCAGCGACCGCACTCAGTGTAGATATATTAAGCTCCCGAATTTCGGCACCAATTTACGAGTATTTATTTTCTTACGAAGCTCCATTCGGTATGATAAAAACTCTGGTGCAAGTGGAGGAAGGTGAGTTATGATTTCCATGTCGTAAAAATATTATATTCGCTCTATTACAATTTATTGCGTTATTGCCCTCGTGATACTGCAGTGAAAGTACATCCAGTTTAATTAATTCTGTTTATTCATAATTGTTGTCCCGTTGTTTAAGATAGGCGTTTCCCATGGTGACGATTTGACTTATGATTTCCATGTCATAAAAATATTATATTCGCTCTATTACAATTCATTACGTTATTGCCCTCGTGATACTGTAGTGAAAGTACATCCAGTTTAATTAATTCTGTTTATTCATAATTGTTGTCCCGTTGTTCAACATAGGCGTTTCCCATGGTGACGATTTGACTTATGAATTCTATTCGGATGCTTTGAAAAATGTGCCACAACCCGATTCACCTGCCGAGAGGATGATGCGTATTTTTACCACTTTATTGACAAACTTTGCAAAAGACGGGTGTGTTGATTGAGCAATTTTTAGTTTACTTTAAATTAATCAAATCATAAGTATAAAATAGAAAATCTAATTGTGATATTTTCAGGAATCCGACATCAAATATGAATGAGTATGTAACTGTAAACTGGGAACCCAGAGGAAAAGAGGATAATTACATGAATATTAATCAAGATTTAAAAATGGAGAAAGGCTTAATGCAAGATAGAATAGACTTTTGGATGAATTTGTACAAAAATGTTATTGGTTAAAAATATACGAATAGATTAATTTACGAGGATGCAGTACAAATATGCTGACTACATCGAACCTCATAATTAATAAATAATAATGTATAATTATTCTTATAAGGAACAATATATGTATACATAATATATGTATAATATATGTATAATATATTATAAAAAGAAATTGCAAATATATTTAGATATATAAAAAATATATGTCGGCTCTTAATATTATTAATAATAATAATAATAATACATAAATTTTTAAATCGGCCAATAAAGCCCAAGCGCGAAAAATTAAATCTTCGGAACTGTATCTCTTGGTTTGAGATTACTAAGTTCCATATATAAAATAATCTCGAACTTACATATGGAGAAAAATAGGCGAGAAAAATATAGGTTCGAATTCCCGCTTCAGCGACTTTTCGGACCTATATTTTTCTCGCCTATTTTTCTCTATATGTAAGTTCGAGATTAATTTATATATGGAACTTAGTAATCTCAAACCAAGAGATACAGTTCCGAAGAATTAATTTTTCGCGCTTGGGTTCTATTAGCCGATTTAAAAATTCATGTATTATATTTAGATATGTTACCTGAAAGCATTAATGTGAAATATTTATCTTGAGGAATCGAAAATCAATACAATCTTGATAAAATCTGAATTCTAAAATATCTAATTAAAATCGGCAATTAAATTTTCCAATTTTGATATCATTAGCCTTCTCGATATCAAGGAGCATCGTGATAAAAAATTTTAGTTCATTATTATTACATATTTTACATTATATACTTACGCTCACCGCTGTTACATTTGCGGCAAGCGGAATTGTTGAAAGAGAAACATCAAGTCGATATATCTGAAATAGCAAAATAGTTGCGGAGAGGAATGTTGATGCCACCTCGAGTAGATCCTTAGCAGGTTGGTTACTGCGGTTGAGATTGGCAATTTGTAGTATCCCTTTCTCTCTCTCTCTCTCTCGCTTTCATACCGCACACCTCATACCTTTTCTCGCGGTGGTCAGAGATATATCTGGTGTGGCGTGGTTAGTCACGCACGCACGGTCTCTCGCACGCGTACATTCAGCGACCCGCTGGCTGACGTATCGGATGAAAGGAAAATTTATGCCTTGTCAGAGCGTTACGAACCAAATGGTAACAAATAGGGCCGCTGTACAGCCGCCGCGCCCGTCCATCGCGGACAAGAAACTCTTCTGTCGTTATCGTGCATGCGCGCACGCGGCCAGGGGTGAACAATTCGCGGATATAATCGCGCGAAATGGAAATTATTGCGGCTAACGCGCCGCGTCGTTGCAGCTGTTACTCGTGTTGCCGCCAATATCCTTTTTCATGCAGGATCGCACGAAAAGTTTTCGTATAACGAGGTGAAATCGTGCGGACGAGATGCGCGCGAGGCAAGTCTTTAACGAAATTATACGTTCGCTTTTGGCAAAAACACAAAATAATCGACAACTTTTATTCGCGCAATTTTATTCGAGCGAATCGGCAAGATACGATGCGCATATATATATATATATATATATATATATATATATATATATATATATGCATATGTCGACGAAATGAATAAAAGAATCGACGAATGGCGGGGAAACAGAAAATGGCGCGTACATGACATCAATCTCGTGAAATACACATTTGATGCATGTGTGTATATGACTGAACAATCTTGAGACGCGACAGCTGTGTTTCGTCGCTGCTATTTTATGATGTAATCACGAGCGGAATAGAAATCGGTCGCGCTGTGAATCGTTCGCGAACTTTAATGCCTTGTTTTCGAGAGAGAGTTTTCCGCGGGAAGTCACGCGGAATACGAAAAACACCACGGACATTGCCACGGGTATATTGATCGCCGGTATATACGGGTGCAGTTTTGACTGCGGGACCTGTGCGCGCGAATGCAATCGATCATCTCGCCACGGGCGAAGAAAGTCTGCACCGGTGCCGACGCGCCTGAATAAGCGATATTGTTAAACGGAGTTTTCATTCTTCACCGTCAATGGGATTGCGCGCAATGATGTTGCTGTCTCTGCAGGATTGACCGATCGGAAATACCGGGAAATTGATGAGTCTTACGGGGGTCTCTATAAAGCTCCTCTCTCTCTCTCTCTCAACTTTCATCTCAACAATTTAATATCTCGTCTACACGACAGGGCGAAGAAACGTTATTTGCTCGCGCGTCGTCTCGCTTTTGCGAAAGGAAATTTCGCTCGCGTTTTCTCCCGACGCGTTTTGACGTTTTCGCGGAAACGACGCGACGCGGTACAAATAGGAAAAGCGCATGAATAATATACGACGAGGCGAGACGAGACGATATATAAATATATCGCTGGAAAATGCTCGTCAATATCTTAATCTGCTCCATTTAGCGTCATACAAGTTTCCTCGCGAACCCATTATGGGCTGGTACTCGGGCGTATTCGACGATACGACGCCGCGCCGTTGCCTATCCCATCCTAGCCTAGGAGCCGTTATGCCCGTCTTAACAAGCGGACAAACTCGGTTTGACGATGCCATAATTCGCACAGAAATGCGAAGCGCACTGAACGCTTGGCGACGACACTTGACGAGATAAGCGTGCTTATTTACGATGGTTTGCAATTTGGAAACGCCAAGTTGTGAACTATTAGCCGCTCCGAACAAGAGCGAACTTCAAAACTGGGTGATTTCATGAGAATTATTTGACGAGAGAATTATCAGCGTTTATATGCGTAATTTCTCGAACGCTTGTATATACGACAATATTCTGTTTTTTTTATTGTGCCTGTCAATTGTTTACTGTTCAATTGTGCGGGTGTCAATTTTATCGCGCCCGACTTAATTCGGATTTAATTCGGCTACAAGTTATCCCTCCCGTTCGTTTGATCAGGTGACGTTGAGATTATATATTAGTTACCGCGCACACTCAGACATCTATCCTTTTCGACGCTCAAGGCGAATGCAACCTCTACGTGCGGTGTAGAGTCCCAGACAAACATTTACGTTTCCAGCCTGGCACGGCAATTTCTCCAACGTAATGCATTTGATCGCATTTGGATTAGTCCCGATCTTTAACCGCAATGTGAATATTGAAATCCTTAGATCGTGTCGACCCAATTTGAGTGTCTCTTGACTTCATCGATATCATAAGAGAATAATGTTTAATCTATAGATAACGTGCAATGGTCTGAATTAGATATGATCTGCGATTTGAACAGAAATACATAATTTTTATTCAATTAATAGATTATTTTTATGTACATTTTGGTTGGTGCAAATGAAAAAAATAGACGATACACGCGCAGTGATTTAATTTGTTATATATGATTTTTTTAGTCATTCGAATATATTCTATCTAGAAATAAAAATATATATAGAATAACGTACGCTGAAAAATATTACAGTAGCAGCTCGGGAACAAAAGAGAATTCGCAACAAATCTACAGAACGAAAGGAAATTAAAATGACAGTCGACTCTGCCGCCGTCCTTCTTTCATATATGGGTAAAAAATTCGGTCAAATCTCTGAATGTGTTCAATGAATGCGCGAAACGGCGGGGCGAAATTAGTTTATTCGAGTGAAATGTCACGCGCATCTCTCTCTCATTTTTTTTCAAGGCAGTATTGAATTTGCAAGCCCTTCATATTCTCTTCTCTTCGTAAATTATTTTCAATATAAAATTTTCATATCTTAAATTCTCATAGAAATCTAAATCGCGATTCTTGTGTAACAATAACTTGCTTTAATTAATATTAGTGCATAATATATGTATATTGTATTTTATCTTTGAAAAATTTTTCCTATAAAATTCATTCATTATTTTCATTGTTATCTTTAGAAAAAATATTGAAATTAATGCTTAGAGAATAATAGATTCCCTTTAATGCATCATTGTGAGAAATTGTGTGACTTAATACACGGTAAATGAGTTAGATATTAGTCGTTTAACGATAGTTCCCGACAAATATGAGGGACAGTATGAAACAACGCAAATGTTTGTACTGTATTACGGCGCTGCTACCGCACCCATTTCCGACAATGTGTGTGCATGTGACACACGCGAGCATATATACATATGTTTTAATGCTCGCGCTCCACATGCGAATATCGCGATAAAGTAGGAAAAATGAAATGCTATTGATCCATTAACGACTTGGTCGATAAATAATAATGGCTTAACGATTTCCTATAATTATGAGTGGTAGCTCGTAATTGAACGTGTGAGATTTATCGTTTGTGGTACAGTATGCGTGTGTTTTTCATCTCCATGATACTCACTTTTTCGACCGAACGAGCGCGCGACTTTCGCTTTTATATAAAAGCGTATCCATATATTTAAATTATCCCTGCAGTAAAAGCTGATTAAGTATTCGATAGAAGTTAATGGCCATTTTACATCGTTGAATAATTTCTATAGACGTTGTAATAACTTATGAAATTTCTACATAAACCTGTCTAATATCGTAACGTTGAGTAGAGATACGAGAGGAGAGAGAATGCATATACGATATTCTACATAATAAACATTGTGCTCTATACTATACGCTGATATATGTAACACATGCTTTCACATACGCACAATACATCCACCAATGGCCTATTATTTATATACATAGTTCCGAGAGAACGTTGGTTCACAACATCACAATTAAATACATATTCCCTGATTTATGCGATATATAACATTTATGCGACATCCGCACATGTATGATATACAAACGTAACACCGCGATCCGATCAAAGATGAATTTAATTACGAGTAACAGCACTCATCTATGCTAAACGTAAAGCTGTTTTCTTTTTTCTTCCTTTCTCTCTCCCTCGCGAGCCTTTGCAGGTGCGCGCGTAATTTGCAAAACACCGAGCAAATAATTCTATGATGTATTTACATTATCGTTATTCAACGCCGACGCGGTGACGGCGCGGCGTAGCAATCGAGCCACGTTGGTCGGATGTCATTGTTTGCCCATCCCCTAAGGCTAACCACCGTCACCCACAATATTACAGAATTACTACATGCCCCGTCCGTTCGTCGTCGCCTCTCGCTCGAACCAATATCGTGTACATTACGTACGTACATCGACGGACTCCGCCGCCTCCAATATTAGTTCCGATGCCAGTG